ATCACGTTCAGTCCATAAGTTCAAAAAAACTCACAGATGGTTCATGTGGTTTCAAAACTTTTAACAAATGGTCATTCCGCCTAACTCCATCAACTTTCTACCGTTAAATGAGGGGCATTTTCATCATTTCAATACACAAGGACCATTTATGAGGTTTTCTCTATTTTATATATATATATATATATAATTATTTAATTAAAGGGCCCCACCCTCTCTCCCTCTCTCTCATCGTCTTCTTCATTACATCTTCCTTATGCAAATCAGACGACATACAAACACACTTAAAACTAAATAACACATAACTAATCTAACAATCATCTTGAATTTGTTCCGATGAACCTCCATTGACGTTTCCTAAGTTTGCATAGTGACTTGTGCTTTAGCGTTTGCATATCTCCATTGCAAGTAATGATTTTGAAGCAATTTTAAAGAATGGATATCTTCTTGGGAAGAATGAGGTTTCCTTGCCTTCCTTGAATCAACATCGAGTTTCATACTGGTGGGTTGTGGTGGCAGGGAGTTGCTTTTAAAAGAATTCTGACAAGAGGATATTGACAAATTAAGAGATCGGGAGCAAAAGGAAGACGAAGAAAACTTGGATAATGGAGGACAATTGCCAACGTCGGTGGTGCTGCTGCAACTGCTACTTCGAACTATCAATCTGGTGGATAATGTATCTTCGACTGTCATGGAAGATCTCGTATCCGGAAGAGGCCATGTTCTGGTGTGTTGGGAGGAGATTGGGGAATTAGGGCACGAAGTTGAACCCCCGTGCATCTGTTCTGATTCGTTTGAGGGAGGTTGGGTTTCTACAAAGCTTTGAGAAATTGCTATAGCGGTATCATTATTGGAGCTGAGATTGGATGATGAGAAGGACAATCACGTCGATTGCAAGAGTTTAGTAGCATCAGTTACCGATGAACTTGAAGAAGAAGATGGGTGGAGTGTTTTGGGTTAAGTGCTTATAAGAGAGAGAGAGAGAGAGAGAGAGAGAGAGAGAGAGAGAGAGAGCAGGGCCCTTTAATTAAATAATTATATTTGTTTTTTTTTTAAATAGAGAAAACCACATAAATGGTTCCTGTGTATTGAAATGACGAAGATGCCCCTTACTTAACGGTGGAAAGCTGACGGAGTTAGGCGGAATGACCATTTGTTAAAAGTTTTGAAACCACATGGACCATCTATGAGATTTTTTGAACTTAGGGACTAAACTTGATATTTTTGGAAACCACAGTGACCATTTTTGAAGTTTTGTCTTAATGTTATTTTATTTTATCTTTTAACTATAATTTAGTTTTTAATATTTTTTATTTTTTTACTAATTAATTATTTCATTAAATATTTAATGACATCTCATTTCTAAAATATAAATTTTATAAAAGTAACATAATATTTTCAATGATTTTATTTTATTTTTATAATTGTAACATAGTATCTCCGTACCAAATTAATTGTCCACATTTGACTTTTGAAGTCTTTATTCTTCAATTTTGACCTTAAATATTTTTGTTTTCGATAGATAATACTAGATGCAAAATATATGAATGAAGTATTTTAAATTTCTTTTCATTGTTATAAGTTTTATCAAGTAATATATACCACAAATAAAAATATTTAAGGTCAAAGTTGAAGAAAAACAATTTCAAAAGTTAAAAATGGACAATTAATTTTGGACGAAAGGAGTAATTTTTTTCGCATTTTATGTATATAAATAAAGAACCGATATATTTGTATTTATATGTTCGTATTAAAATATGATTTGCGTTTAAAAATTGACTGATCAAATGAGGGATTTGTTTTAAACATTTTTTATTGATAAAGATATATTAGTTAAATTTATATAAAAAAAGTTACGTAAATAATATTAACCATTAAAGTGATCATTTATTTGGAAGTCAATATTAATGAAATGATGAGTTGATAGTTATTTTAAGTAGACCTAACAAATGTGTTTGTTGTGTCGGGTTCGTGTCGTGTCAAAACAATAAACAGGTTGATAGGGATCGACTCTAACCTGACTCGTTTAATTAACGTGTTGTGTCGTATCAACCTATTTATTTTCCTATCGGGTTTCAGGTTAAGGGTATACCTTGAAATGCGTTGTGGCATGTGAGGTTGAAACACTAAATATGTTGAAAGAGTGTGAGTTGTTTAAGTGGAAATGAAAAGGTAATAGTTTGGAAGCGAAATGACTAAGTTCATAGCAAGTTCAGAGGTCCAAAATGGAAAGAGTATGAATTGGGAGGCAGAAGTAGGGATCTTGATGAGGAGGGGTGGTCGAGGGAACCATGTAGTTTGGAAAATAACAAAAAAAAAGTTAGAAATGAAGTCTTGACTAGACAAAAAAGTTGTTTCCACGTTAGAAAACAACTTAACCCCAAAGATTTTCTTTTACTTATGGTATTGATTTTGGATCTTTTTAGTTTATTTAATGAGATTAAAAAGTTTACATATAAATAAACGGGTCATTTTCGAGTCATATTTAAATTGAAATTCTCAACCCTAACATTACCCGTTTAATTTTTGTATCATGTCGTTTCAATCTGTTTAATTAAACGGATTGAAATATTTTACTCAAACTCATTTATTTCGTATCAGTTTCGTGTGGTGTGAGTTTTTTGTCATATCTAATTTTAAGTCCTAAGATAGTGTAACAATTAGAGATGCTCTAAGTGTTCAATTTTTCCGCGTTAAACACAATAATTACCATAAATGTTTATTACATCATTAAATTACCATTTTTTTAAAGATTTTTATTAGGTCGGGGGAGTGGCATCGGCAGCCACTCAGTTGGCTCGGCAAATACCAACCCAAGCTTGGCATGTTGAATTTCTCTCCCTTCTCAATTAGATGTTGATTTTCTCTCCTTACTCTCTTCTCCCACCATATCACTCTCTTTCTTCTTCTCTTCTCATTCTCTTCTTCCCTACTCTTTAAGGATGTCAAAAGTTTTCTCCATCTTTGATGGGCTGACTCCCCCGAACCTTAAAAGATGACCATATATTTCATCAAAGCATTGATAAAATGTTTTTCTAATGGTTCCCACTAAACTGATATCTAGTAAATTTTTAATTTTTCAAAATTGGCATTATTTTTGCAAGAGAATACATTTCAAAAAAACACAAATTTCATTTAAATTTTTTTTCCTAAGAGCTAAATAGAATCGTTTAATATATTAAAAAACAAATATGTATACTTTGTTATATACTTGAATAATATAAGGCAATATATATTATATAATACATAAAGATAATAATAAAAGCAATGATGATAACTTTCAGTTAAGAGCATCTTTACTTTTTTTTTTTTTTAAACATAAGGGCATCTTTAATTGGGTTGTAAACAAATAAAAAACAAACAAACACAAACACATAAACAAGCAAATTGTCTTTTTAGTGTTTGTTTTCTTACAAAACTACATATTATGTGTTCGTGCCTATATGTTCATTAAGATAACATATATGAGCATAAACGAAAATATAGTTTGTTTCTTGTTAAATTTTAAGGATCCACAAAAAAAAGCCGCATAGCTCAATATCATAATATTTACGTTTACTATTAACCACTCCGATTGTAAAGTAGCATGTACTAATATTGTGGATCTATGTATTTCAGTTAAAAAAACCTGAAGTAGCAAACCCCTAGGTAAAAGTAGTATAATTTTTTCTTATTTTGAAATAAGAGACTGTATGTTGATATCATATAAAAAAGGATGATATAATTTTTCCATGGTCAGATGAGTTGAGCCTAAATATAGGGTCATTTTGTTAGTCCTTTGTCAAGCCTTATGGTTCCTAAACGTTTTGTGTGATCTGAAATTGTATAATTGGTTACTTGCAGAAATTTATTGTGTTAACAAATATGCTGTACAAATTGTTGCAAATAATGTGTTTCAAACAAATCATACTGCATTTACATACATATAGTTAGAGAAAATTTGGGCAATGGATTTATAAGTTGATTCGCTTGATCAACGTATTGAAAGGTCATTGGTACAAAGACTACAATATATTTTCAAAAAATGCAGTGGCAATCGAATAGTGATCAACCTTTAAGACTAAGGGGATGTTACATAGTTTGGGGCTTACGAGAGTTACATGCCTAGGAAGGAAAATGGTATTGTGAATTTGTGATCAACCTTCAAGCACGAGATTGCTTAGTTGTGGAATGTAATGATTGCCGAAGAGACATGATTACCACTATAATGACCAAAAAAAGGGTCCCTTTCTATTTATAGATCTCCTGTGACTTGTAAAGCTTGATACAAAATCAATAGAAATCTCTCTAATTCAGTTGTGGACATAGCACGAGTATCCTAATCATGTTAACTACGTAATAATTAATGCCTGTTTTTTTTATTGTTCCTCACATCTGATATTATATGTTTGTCAAGCGTATACTTAAGTCTTAAGAGACACCAACTTGTACAAGCGTGTGCAGCTCTTTGTTCATATTTTAGCATATAATAGTCCGCACTGGACTTGGTACTCATTTAAATTGCAACTACATAAAAGGTTTGATGACCTACAGTTTGACCCATAGGGTGAAATTGGAGGCAAGAACGAAGTGCTTGTTGGGTATGGTAGGAGTGCGGGAAACACATGAGATTAGATGATGCTAGTAGAGTATAAAACATAAATCTTCTAGTTTCATAAGATACTTAATTAAGTATATAGAAGAAACTAATGTGAAATTAATGGGGAGAAGGGTGATGTAACATAAAATTAATGAGACTTAAACCTCAGTTTGGGTATAAATATCGAGTAGAAACAAAGCATCTCAAAACACCTTTTATCTTCATGGCTATAATCACCAAATCCACTATTCTAATTTCGGTTCTCCTACTCCTCCTTTACACGTGCTCATGTTCAGGTATTTTACATTAGTCATGTCCTATATATATATATATATATATATATATATATATATATATATATATATATATATATATATATATATATATATATATATATATATATATATATATATATATATATATATGTATGTGTGTGTGTGTAGGGAATGACATGAGCGATGCACCCGCTGTGGGCCCAGCACCAGACATTTTGGCGAGTCGTTCATGGGAGTTTGCACCGCTTGAAGCCGAGACAGACTACAATGATCCAATGATGGGAGGTGGACAAGGCCCACTCACAGGAACTTAAGCTCTCGTATTAAGAAAAATAATTAAAATAAAATTCAATCAGAATTTGTTTGGTTGTATTGAAGTGGGAACTGGGAACGAAGATGAGATGCATGAGAATAAATAAAGGCTGGCTTTTTTTATCATATCTGATTCTGATCGAAATACAAAACACTTTTAAAACAAGATATCATCATACATTTATGGTGGGTATAATAATAGATTAATAGATGAAGTAAGGTATAGATGTTATAGACTTACAGTAATAGAATATGATTTGATTATATACAGACAGACAGAGAGAGAGAGAGAGAGAGAGTTGAGTTTCAAATTTCAAAATGAAGCAGTAGATGACATCCATATCCCAAAGGACACAATACCAATGGTCGCAAAAGCTTGGATCATTTCATACACAAAGTTTTGTTTCTGTATAGGTAAATTTTCCCAATCCGTCCGCCTATCACCAACATAAACTCAAATCATCAAACTTAGATACAAAAACATATATTTTACACTTTCATCATTATTTTTTAAAAATAAATAAATAAATATGCATACCCCAAATCAGCAATCACAATGGTTACATTATCTTGAGAATATTGGTCCTGCAATCAAACAGCTTGGAAAGTCAAGGGAAGTGAGAAACTCGTGATCAAAAGGTGAAAATGTGTACGGAATTCATTACATACCAAGGCCATTTGAGCTAGAGCTTCAGATGCAGCCTACAATATATTGGTATAAAAATAATAAATATTTTTTTATAAACTTTGGTTTTTCTTGAAAATTATTTCATGGAAACTAATTACCTGCACATCTCCATGTTCCCGAAGTTGGTCTCTAACAAAGTTGACCGCATCCGAGCTGAAGGTAATAAAATTTGGATAAAATAATGAAGTCATAAAAAAAGAAAGGTAAAGATAGATTGAACCTTTTAATGTAGTCCCATAAGCCATCAGTTGCTAACAATACAAATTCTGCTTCAGGCCCAAGTGTAACTTGATAAATATCAGGAGTAGCAATAACCAAGTCCCCAAAGAACCGAATGCTACACCAGATCATAACCCCAATTTTATAATTTATACACACAGCACAGCAATGGGCAAAGGGTATTTCAGTCATTTACATAAATGAGAGAATGCCTACCGGGATACGAATTTTTCAGACCATCTGCCTTCAGCAACTCCCTTTTCCAGCATCCTTTCAATAGTCAAAAATAATGTTCACTCACACATCAATCAATTAGTAATATATATTATATAATATACACAAATATTAAAAAGGATTAGACTAGAAATAAGAGATTACTCTTTCTTCTTTGTTTTAAACCGCATGTCACCAAAGGCACGGGATACAGAAATATCTCCACAGATTCTTCCATCCGAAATCTACAGAGACACAAAACGATTTTATCAAATCAATATTATATATAAAAGTAATAAAAGTGAAAAAGGAAATAGGAAATAAGAAGAGAATAACAGACCCATCCACCTGCTTCTCTGATTCGCTTGATCTCTTGAAGGGAAACCTTGCTTCTTCCATAGGGTCTGTGAGAATTGGTCAATTCTTGTGCCTTTCCAGACTGTGAAAGAACCTGCCAACAAGTTTTTTTGCCTCATCAAAAACTCATTCCACTACGTATTAATTTCTAATTTGGCTTATGGTTTTTAAAATATATATAAATAAAAATCAGGGGGAAATTCACATACCGCACATGAATCACCAACATGAGAGATGAACAGCATATTGTTTCCTAGGAACATAGTTGTGGCTGTTGCGCCAGATTCATCGTCCTCTCCGTTCATCTCAAGCCTTTACAAAATCAAACAGCATCTAAACCTTCAATGCAATAATACAGAAAATGAAATCATACATACTCCTTTGACAATTGTTTGGGGCAATACAAACTGTCTGCATGTATATGTTAAGCTTACCAGTTTAGAAGTTTTGCATCAGCATTCTGGAAAGCCTCCTGCAGTGCTTTCTCGATTCCAATGGTGTCTTTTTTACTCAACAATAGGCCCCCTTGTAGAGCCTTAACACACTCCTTGTATAGCTCCTCCCTACATGTTCAAATATTCAGTCCTGTAAACTAAACAAGGGTTTCCAGAAAAATTCCGTAACTGTTAAAGATACAAACCAACCAAAACTTGAATACTAGGAAAGATAAAAATTACTGAGACATAAACACAAACACCTAACGTGCATAACAAACCTGAGGAACTTAACAGAAGAGAAACCCGCGTGGCCATCGAAAACGGCAGCAAAAAAGAAACCATCAAGCTCGTTATGAGGCGATGAGCCGACTATAACAGCATCGTCTTCCATCTCCTCTCGAGCACCTTGTAATTTGGCGGAACCCCATCTGATCCCAGAACCAAGGCCATCAGAGAGAGAAGAAGGAGCGTCGATTGCAATCGCCGAACAGCACCGGGGGCTGCCTTCTCTACTCCACTTTCTCACGATTATATGATTATTGCTATTACAACTATTAGGCTTCTTCAAGTCGATCTTACTAACGTTGTTGTTGAGTAGAAATCTCTGCAAGCGTGGACTCCATAAAGCCATTGATGAGAGATGTAGTTTGCGAGAAGAAGGGTGAAGTAGAAATGGGTATATGATAAATAAGCATAAGTAAGGTGAAGCTCCGAAGGATAAGAAGAGCGCAAACGCTGGCCGCTAACTGGTTTACCGGATTAGATTATCTTCAGTTGAGTTTTGTACTACAACATAATTGTAGTACTTGCAAAAAATATTTACAAATATGAAGTACCTTTTTATTTACCAAAAGCTTGCAAAATTGTTCCTTTATTTTTAAATGATTTGAAGCTCTCAACAAGAAACATAAGAGCATACGGTGTGGGTCGTGTTATCAGTCGTTATGGCTGAGTTGGCACCTCATAACCTCGTTATAACACCATGAACACCACCTCCAAATGGTGTTATGGCATAAAATATGGTAACGGCAATGAGCTTCAACATGGAAAACTAGCAAATCACATTCTTCTCATTCTCTTTCTATCTCTTGCTCTTAACATGTCATAACATTGAAACACCATTTCCTATATGGTGTTAAGATGATGTTAAGAGTGAGGTGGCATGTTAATTGGTGTTATAACATTGACTCATACCCAATACTCTAAGGCTTGTCAATCTTCCTCTCCAAAACCTTGTAAATTTGGTTTTTTTTAATGTGAACCCCATCCGGTTTGTATATGAAAAGAAAATATTTTGTTAGTATTAAACTAGTTGCAAATGGATTTTGGAGGCAGTTGAGATACATTCATACATATCTTTCATTGGCAGAGTTTTCATACAACAATAGTTACCATGTCAGTATCGACCAACCTCCGTTTGAGATGTTGTATGGTCGGAGATGTAGGACTTCGGTTCGTTGGCGCGAGGTTGGACACCGAGTCATGAGGAGCACCAAAGTGGTGCTCAAGACTACCGGGTTGATTCAACAAGTACGCGACCGGCTGCGAGTTGCACAGAGCCGTCAGAAAAAATATGCTGACTGATGGCGATCGGACCTGGAGTTCAAAGTGGGGGACTTTGTGTTACTAAAGATGTCGACATGGAAGGGAATCATCAGGTTTCGGAAGAGAGACAAGTTGGGGTCGGGATATATTGGTCCGTTCAGGATTTCGGCCCGAGTAGGCAAGGTGGCTTACCGTTTGGATATGTTGGACGAATTTAGTCAGATACAAAACACCTTCCATGTGTCCCTTAGCTCCGAAAATGTGTCGCAGACGAGGCCACAGTCGTTTCTTTGGACGACATTCAGGTGGACGAGAGCCTGAACTACATTGAGAGGCCCATTGCGATTTTGGATAGGAAGACCAAGGTTCTTCGGAACAAGAAAGTGAAGCTTGTAAAGGTGCAATGGCGGCACCGAAGGGCCTCCGAATGGATATAGGAGCCGGAGGATGAGATGCGGGAGCATTACCCCGATATGTTTGCATCTACGGACTTCGAGGACAAAGTCTAGTTCAAGTGGGGGAGAGTTGTAACACTCCAAATCAGGTATTACCTTTGAAGCCATTGAAATTTTAAATATTGCATAATTAAGTCCCTTAAGTACGCTAGCAGTAATTCATGAGTACGCTTAGCGTACCATGCATGGATGATCGCGGAGGGCTAGCACGTACATTGGGCGTACCAAAAGGTACGCGGGGCATACGTGACGGATGTTCAAACCCTAATTTACGGACTTAAGAACTAATAAGCATCCTTATCTCATTTGAGCTTCACCCTAACCAACCTCCTTCAAATTCAAACGTCCCTAAAAACCCTAAAATCATTAGAGAGTGTGTTCTTGAGCTATTGAGTGTTTAAACATCATCCTTGTTGCGTGTTAGCTACTAAGAAGAAGAGGAAACAAGCTTAAACGAGGAAGAGCTTCTGGATCTTGCATTTTGAGCAGTCTAGGAAGCTTAAGGAGGTAAAAAGATTTCACCTTGGTTATCATTTCCATTTCTAGATCTAGGGTTTTCTCCTTAGTCCCTTTTGTCTTCTTGAGCCACCTCTTGAGAGTTTGAGCAACTCCAGTGTCACACCCCCGAACCGAGACGACGGAAACGTCCGAGGGTGGGTGACTTCATCTTGTAATATCATAACAATTGAATATGAATGAAACATAGCAATCACAATCATACATTAAGGATACCAAAAAGTATTGTTTACAACATTAAATTTGTTCATGATAATACTATTGGATTAGTGTCTAAGTCCATAACTATTTTGGTATGTACTTGACCCGATGGTGCATCGTCCTTTTGGGTTGCCTTCACCAAAGCAACTTGATTGGAGAAATAAATAAAGAGAGAGAGAGAGAGAGGTTATTATGATTTATTAATATGTTATAATAATAATACATTAAAGGAGAAATCATATTTGTTTAATTAATATTTGTCAATAATTAATTAGGAATTAATTTTGTGATCAAGTGTAATTAATTAAACTAGAGGGGTTGATTTGTAATTATGTGATAGTTACAAAATAAGGTAAGGATTATCTTAAATATAGGATGAACGAATTTAATAAGATAATGCCTTAGAATTCGACTAGGATAAGGGTTTCTAAGACTTATCTTATGGTTACTTGGTGGGCAAGCAACTAGATAAGGATAAGGACTAAAACTCTAATCTTTACACCAATATAAACCCCCTAAGGCTCATGAATTCGTCTAAGCCTTCCCAAGAGGTCCTAAGGACGAATTCCTACCTCTCTCCTCTCTCTTTATACCTTCTCCATTTGCTCTTGGTGTTTGTAAGCCATTAGAGGAGTGACACTTGTGACTCTAAGCATTCCAAAGTCAATTCAAGGAGGAATTGGGATTGTTATTGCTACATAACAATCAAGGTAACATCTTAAACCTAATTATATGTTAATATCGATTTCCATATGCTAGAATTAGGGTTTATAGTCTTAGATTCAAAGCATGTACAATAGAGAAACCTAGATCCAAGCATTATGGTTTGTATGAGCACATAGGATGTCTTATGACCAAAACCATCAGTGGTATCAGAGACTAGCTTTGGTTTCAATTGTATTGATGCATTGTATATCTAAAAAATTCGATTTTTGGTGTTCTAGAGGCTGGACTCGCCGAGTCCATAGCTGAACTCGCCGAGTCCATAGCTGAACTCGCCGAGTCCAGGGTGACTCGACGAGTCCAGGCTTGACTCGACGAGTCAACTCGTCAGATAGTGCTTATCTCGGGATTTCTTGTTGTTTTTGCATATGGATAGTTACCTTATCATGTTAGATCAATATTAATCCGATTATATGATATATTTGACTATATTTTTGATCTAATTGAAGATATTTATCAATTAATAAGATAATTGTTTCCTTATAAGATAATTGATTAATTATTTTGAGTAAATTGATAAATTGTTTTGCAAGAAATCATTAAATAAATCAAATATGGATAATTATGTAATTAAATGTTAGTTTAGATTATTTATTATTTGATCCTTGTTGTTATGAAAAGTTTCATATTTTGCCCTTTAGGTTTTATAGTTTAAATTTGAAACCAAAAGTTTTGTTGTTTTGAAATTTAAATAATTGAAACCCTAATGTTTTTGAAATGTTTCAAAACTTGCCCTCAAGTTTTGGAATTTAAAAGTTGATTAAAAGTTAATTAGGAATGTTAAATTCTAAAACCCTAGTAATGTTTTGAAAAGTTCAAATACACCCTTATGGTTTTATTAATTAATTAAGGAGTATAATTAAAAGAGACTTAATAAATCCATAAAAGTCTAGGTTAACCATTTAATTGAATTAAAAGTGTAATTGTTAAAGTTAACCACCTAATATTTTAAAAGTGTAAAATGCACCCTATACTATATATAACATTAAAAGTCTAACTATATATATATATATATATATATATATATATATATATATATATATATATGTATGAGTAAAAGTCAGTCTTACCGTTAGTAGGCCTCATTCACGAAGCTGGTCTATAAGGGGTGTTTAAGGAAATTGCCTATAAAATGGCGATTGAATGGGTATCCACTCTTACCCACCGCACTTTGACTAGTGGAGGGTCGTTAGCCGAACGGGTAGGATAGGACGAAACCTTCCATTATAAGTATAATGAAATACAAAAGTAACTAAATGTTTTTACAAATTCCCAATCTTAGTTACTTAGGCAAAGTGAATTGATGCAATTCCATGAAATTACACTTTGTGCCCTTGCGAAGACGTTAGTGGAGCGTGTGTGGTTTACCGGCACACTAAATGGTTCTAAGCAAAGGTAGCAAAGGGTGACTCAATGTTTGTCATAGTTCGGTGGAGCGTGTGTGGTTTACCGGCACATCGAATAGGTGACTGTAACATGTGAGGGCACCATGTAACTTTGCATGGTTATTCACACCCGCTTTGTGATCCTCGGCATCCCAGTCACAAACAAGAGGGGCATATCGAGATTTAAACATGCCATTGAAATGTTCAATGAATCTCAAAGGATCTAGGAGTTTTCATAGATTTAAAACTTAAATTTATTTTTCGTTTTTCATGGTGGAAATTAGTGAATCGTCATTCACTTACCTTCAAATATTCTGCAACTAGATTACGACATCCCTTTTCTAGGTTGTAGCGTATTGTGTTGGGTCCTAGCCTTAGTATCTCATTTGGGTGATTTACTAAGGACTCAATAATCAATCAACTAACTTGAATTTGTTTTCTCCCGTTTTGTAGATGTCAAAGTTCGACAACTATGGTCTTCCCAAATCCCGTGGAACAAGCATTCCACATGAAGATGATATTCCACGATTCGATCGAGGAACAAGAAATCATGCTTCACTTCCTCCTCCTCCTCCAATTATTCTCCCTAACCCACAAGATTGTAAAATTGAAAGGTTCAATATCACTCAAGCCCTTTTGGCAAGTAAACATAAAGAAGGAAAGTCGGTGTGTGCACACGTCTTAGGGATGAAGTCACACATTGATAGGTTAAGAATGATGGGATCCGTTGTCGGTGAAGAGATGGCTGTTGATTGGGTTCTTCAGTCACTTCCTAACTCGTATAGTGAGTTCGTAAGAGAGTACTATATGATGAACCACGACGTGACCCTTATTGATCTCACCTATATGCTTATTGCTGCTGAATCAGCAATGGTTTGGCGCAATAGAAAAGCAAAGTTGATTGGTGAATCTGCCTTCAAGACCTCTATGGATATAGACAATGGCAATGAAAGACATGCAATGATCGAAAAGTTTGATCATAAGAGAAAGGCGA